TCTTTGTGGGCGTAAGACGAGTGGGCATAGCCTCTTTGGCATTCGCACTGCCAAGGTGCCCACAGGAGATTTAAAAATGGGGATAGGAAAGCCCCTTAGTGGGTGCTACAATGTTGAGGAAGTGAGACAGCTTTTTAGAAAGAAGCCCCCAACTTCCAACACAGGCTGAGGGCTGAAGCACTCAGAGAATAGAGTCCAATGCACATAGGAACGGAGAGCGGGAGCAAGGTACGGATGTGGCAAAATAGAGTATAAGGCACAGCAAGAGGAAAAAAGTAGATAAAAGGTAAAGACTGAGCAGGGGAAGAGATTGAGAGAGTGACAAAAGAGCCCAGGAGGAAAGCATCACTGCATCGGAAGCTTACAGGATATCGAGCAAAAAGAGTGAAGAGGGAAGAAAGAGGCAGAGCACATTTCTGCCACAGACAAAGTGGCTCTGTTAAAAGAACAGTCACCTTGTGGGTTAAGTACCAGATTCATATTCTCTTCAAGCAACACCAAACAACAACGTAAACCACACCTGTTAGATCATTAAAATCCAATTCCACTTCCATCAAGTATTACCCACTAAATGTGCAATAATACCAATCAGCCTCTGCAGTCAATAAGACATGCTTGTAAATGTCACGGCATTCATCCAGGGAACTCCCGGAGATATTCAGTGGCCACCATCGTGGCGAGCATGTGAGATGAAAGAATCATGGGTTTTGTGTGCTGGTCCCCAAGATAAGCTATGAATCAATTGGCCGCTAATGTAACCATTCAAGCAATTAGCACCATGACAAATTTATAAGCGATGATTACTCGGCTGGTTGTCCGTGCAATTTCCTGAACGGAACAGAGTCAGTTAAACCCGAAATGGCATATTACAAGTCTTTCTCACTCATTTCCTGAACGACATAATACAATATTTGATTGCCCAATATTTTATATGTACTTTAAACTCCCATGTCCTGCCCACAGAAGCAGAGGTGCCATTGAGAACAGAGAAGCAGCCAATTTGCCATATCGAAGAGCCACATTATTTGCCTTAGAGCACACTGTATTACTCAACAGCGAGATGTCATAACACAGAACACAACAATTCTATCACACTATTTGAGATATGGCACAATCTGTGGAGCTGTTATTTACCCAAAGCAATATGAGACTGTATAGCAGGGTTAACTGTCCCACTCATAAAAGGATGTTATCTCTACAGTCACAGCAAGAGTAATAATGATAATGTTAGGAATCGGACCTGCTCTGACCAAGCAGGACCACAGCTCTACTTCTATCAGAGATTTGCTTAAAGAAGTGAAATTGGTAAGAAATTATTCAAATTCCTTTGGCCATGTGACCTGACCAATGATCCAGGATCAGCAGTCCCTGACTAAGAGGCAGACTAACAACTGAAAGGGAGATTCCAGAGGGGCCCCAAGCAAAACTTCAGTTATCGCAAAGTTACAACATGGATTTAATCAGATATCTACGCCGTATGCTGTTATCCAGTTATGTACCAGCTCACGAATGTGTGTCAACTTATAGATCTTTCCCATGAAACGGTTTGAGGGACTTTGTCCTAGATTAAGACTTCTGAACACAGACGAGAGCAGGAATATTCAAGGTCCACTAGGCATCAAGCAAGCATCATTATGTTTATCCGCCAGTGTAACAGACTCTGGGCTACTTACGACAGTTCTCCTCGTCGCTGCTGTCTGAGCAATCATCATCATCATCACATCTCCACAGGGTCGGGATGCACCGTCCGTTCTTGCACTGAAACTGCCCAGTTTCACACTCCGACTCCGTATGAGTTCCTGTGTTGTCAGAAAAAAACTAGTTTTCAGAGGCTTTCTCATTTCATTTAGGGAGCATTATGTGATTCTTGAATATGTGTAGATGTCAGATGTATTGAAATCTAAGAATACCATAAAGTATATATTGTGATTTTAGGCATTTACAGGAAAGCGGTGGTGTGAGTACTTTTTAAAAAGCAGCTTATGGCAAAAGAGGGCTCGACTACCAACTGTTTATGGCTGTGTTTCTTAACTATGGAGGTTAACTGATATTTTACAATATTGGCTTTACTGTAATAAAGCATTATTAATGACCCGAGTATTGAAGGGTGTAAAGTGGTAAATAGACAGGCTATTGCTCTTCAAATATTGTAGGTAGGCTTCCTCCAATATTAGCTGTTTTAATATGTAGTTAATGTGCTTTCCTTAAATCCAACATTCCTACAACAAGATTTTACACTTCTGTTGTTATTATGTGCTTATGAGATGAGCTCGCTTGTTTTGAAAATGTATGAATAGGCTTTGACACGACCGTAACTGCCTACCACCAGTGTCCTACCGGCACTTCAACACAAAGATCAGGCAAAGGCAAATCTATCACGGCGTGTTTTTTTTTTTTTTTTATATGTGTGTGTTACAAAAACACAAAGCAGACCATCGCAGCCTGCACTTTGACTTCACATCACCAGACAGTCTCACTACAACATAAGCCTCCTGCATTTGGACACGTGTTGGGGGTGTACTGACTGATTCTTCCGCGTATTGCCACTTAATGTCCACTGTGATCGCGATCACCCCGCGAACCAAAAGTGGCGATCCAGGTGTGAGTCATGCCTTTGCATCTATCAGCGCAGCACATGGAAGACAATTGAGAGACGAGCCCGTTTCTCAGCAGACAAACGACCCCCCCCCCACCACCCTCCTCAAAGCGTTTCCCCAGTCCGTGATGCGATGCAACATTCACCTCCTCGCTGACAGAAGTGTCTCTTACCTTTAGCGCGATGGAGCTCCATAAGTAACAAATGTAATAGCACAAGCTTTCCGACTTCCGTCCACATCTTTAGATCCTGGGGGGCTCTACGGTTGTGTTCATGCAAGTGAAGAAAAAAACCAGTGAAGGATCCCCAACCTCTCACACTCGGCTGTGTGTGATCCTCTCTCTGCCTCTGCTACTGTGTGAGTGTGTGTGATCAGCCTGGCTCTCCGCTCTGCCTCGGCCGCAGTTTGAATCGGTGACGCTTTATGGGCGGGATGGCTGGTCGTGGTGCCTGCGGTTAATGTAGTAGGTAGACAAAACACATCATGATAAGGAAGTCATATCTGCATACTGCTGAGTCACACATAGCAGGCTGTTTCAGGAAACTTTAGCCCATCAGGGACATGCAAATTTATCGTCAAAATATTTGTTAAAGAAATTGTTTTTACATAGATATTTTCACTTGGACTAGAAGATTGATGCTGTTTGGGTAGTGTTGACAGCTAAAATAGGAATGCTGTAGCCATAGTTACCTATCATTAAAGACTAGAAACAATGAAACTTTGTCCTGAAATTAAAGACCTCCTTAAGGCTTGTTTAACCTCTACCGCAACCATTAGTGTGTGTATAAATGACAACTTGGGGTTTTAAAGGATTTTATGTCCTTGGTTACCTGGAAACCACAAGACGACACTAACGCTCCCACCAAGAAATAGTCCCACTCTAGCCCTGTAAAACCAGAATTTCATGGTTCCATTTAAACTGGGAAGTCCAATTTCACCTGCAACGCCCCCTGAAGTCAGATTTCCAACTCAGAAAGTTGGAAGAACCTCACCAACCTTAATTCAAAAATCCAAAATGGCTGCTCCGCGCGTCAACAGAAGTGAAAGCTCAATAGTATATAGAGTTTCTGTTTCTGTCATAATGTCCAGCTTCTATCTGTGGACATACTGCTACAGTGTTTGTATGTGAAAAATACCATGTAATGTGTTTATATCAACTGGTATTGCTAACAATGGCTATAGCTTGGTTTTCCCACCTATTGTACTGTAACACGGTTAACTTTTGGTGTCTCCTAGCTTCGACTTCCAAGGTAAATAGAATGTAGCATTACATTTTGGTCTATGTATTGATTAAACAAATAACATTTAACGTCTTAATTAGTTGTACACATTTTAGTGAGTGGACCTTTGGACTAGGGTTGCCATTCGTCCCATATAATATGGGATTGTCCTATACTGAATAATAATAATATTTTCATGCACACTTTCTCAAATGCATACATTACATTTTCACATGCTTGGATTGAAGTATACCAAAAGTATTAAATCAGAATTTTCAGAAGAATTAATGATGAGTTGTCTGTCACTCAATGTCACCCTGGTCAGACACACATTTTTTTTAAAAATGTGGCAAATACCTCCAGCTGAAGTCCGCCCATGAGAAGAAAGTTGTTGTCCAAATACAGATCTGTATTCCATTGGGGGGGGGCTGTCCAACCTGAAGCATCATTCAGCAGGTGATTACTATGTCCGAGCAGTGCAAGGGCAGGGGACTCAAAGTAAAGTTATTTTGACAGACCAAACATTTTGCTCATGTCTATGATCTGATGTTTTAATTCTTAATATAATGCAACTGTGCTTAACTCTTATTTACTTTACATTCATGAGAGTAGCAGAGGACTGATGCAACGAAAGCACAAATTGGTGGATAAATATTCTAGCCTGCGAACCAGACAAATCTGTGGAGCTCATAATGTGTCATTTGCCGATGCCATGCTATAACATTTCCCCAGAATGAAGGAAATGAAGTGTCTGACACTCAAAATCTCATGAGTGAGGACTCCCTGATTGATTTGTATCCACCAAGCATGGGACTGCTGGCAAGCTGTCCCCTATTTTCCCACAATTAGGGAACATCCCTACTTTGGACAGGGCCATGCTAGCTGTTTCCTCATGAAGCCAGTCTTTATGATAAGCTAAGCTACTCTTGGCTGTAAATTCATATTCAATGGACAGATATGAGAATGTTATCAGTCGTTTCGTCTAATTCTGGCAAGAATTAAGAGGTATAAGAATAAGAGTTTTTCCCCATATATCAACCATAACTTTAAGACGACCTTAAGTAGGTTTTTATTATACTTAGACACCAAATTTACTGCAGCCTGCATTCTACAGAGGCTGAAGTTTTGAGTTTTATATTCAGTATCCAATTGACATTATGTTAAATATGAGCGACTAGGTCTTGCTCCACCTGCATTATCTCTATCTTTTTTTTGCCATCTCTTTTCAGACTGGTCTTTAATATGTTATTCAAATGTCAGTAACATTAGAAGTTGCCATGCTTAATCCAATCATATGTGTAAACAATAACACTAGCACTGCTGCTCTCATGCTCCAGCGTCCTTTGTATCTGTTGCTATGGGAAAAGACAAGCTATTAGAGAAACATATTGGCTATAAAAGGTTTTATCCACTTTTGCTTCACACCCGCCTCAAGCTGAAGCTGTTTCTTTTTACATTCAAAGGCATTTAATAAGGGTTATTTTCAGTCTACGTCTTCTAAAGCAAGCTTATTAAATAGTTGAGTAACTTTAATAGCCTTTCCTTATGAAAAAAAATCCATAAGTGCTACATATGTCATACGTCCTCTGTGATATGGGGCTTTTCAGTTGGCTAGAATAATATGAAGGGATCATTGGGGGGAGCCAATGACAATCGTCAATGAAACAGAGTTGGTGGCATGTACAGTCTTGTCTAAAGAGATACCTAAAGGCATGAAGTGACCAACATATTTTGGGTATGAAGACTAGAATTTGAATTGAATGAAAAGTGTGCAAAGAAAGAGAACAGACATGTCTGTACTGCTGTACGATGCAGGCAGAGTTCAGTTTTGATTTGCTGCTGTTCAGCATGGGTCATGTGCATGAAATGACTTTAACACATGATTCAACACATGAATAATGAATAAAACTACTGTATAAATAGCAGAGAAAAAACACAATTCTTGCCTCTTATACATTATTCAATAAAAGTGTGAATGAAACATTAAAAGGCTGGCCAAGGTGCAGAAATTGGTAAAAAAAAAAGAAAGAAAAAAAGTCACTTTCACATTAACGGCTTACATAACTGAGGAAAGTCCCATGTTATTGCTACAGTCTTCATACTTCACTCAAAGTACTTAAGAAAGCGTCTCATTGGAATCAAAATGTTTGTAAAATCTACTTTGTGAATGCAACTACATATTATGTTGATAAATACACACAATATATGCTCAGTAATTGCTGGAATTTCCACATTTATCCTTTTATTATATTCTACTATCATATGGTCTGTGACATGAAAAATGTTATGACCACAGCTGGTGTTATATCCTCTGAGGGTTTTTTTTTTCAAGCACAATATGTTTCATGTATGTAAAACTACTATACATGTATGTCATGTCATCTTTGATCCATCAAGCACAGAGGACTACACCATGTATGTTGCACCTACAGTACAGTGCCCCCCTGCAGTAGGAATGAACTCAGGGATGTGCATGAATTAGAGCAGAAGAGCGAGAGCAAGTTTTCTGTCCAGACTTGCTCAACAGCTGCCAGCAGCAATGTGCGGAAGAATTCCCACATAAATATCATGGATAAAAAGTCATAAATGACTAAAACTAACTATAGATTATTATTTTTATTATTACTGCAACAAGTAAACGGGGCAACACAGTGTGAGGCAGGTTTTTAGACTGCCATGTTTATGTACTGGAATAGTTGGTTGGCTGTTTAGACAGCGAAGAAGTGACTAAATTTACAATCCAAATTAGGTATAATTAACATAGAGCATAATATTATCATGGAGTTGCAAAGTGTGAAAAGTCATGGTTATTTTCTGAAGTAGGCCTGCACAATTAATCACAGTATTACTGAAATCGCAATATGGCCTAGTGCAAAATGCAAATTGCAGGAAGCTGCAAGTTTTTGTAAACTTTATGACAAACAGCATTATAATGAAGTACTCTAGTTCTGCAGAGATACTACGGTCCAAATCTTTTTCTCTCGATTTAAGAAAACGTGTTTTTGTGGTACAAACCCCAACAAAGGTCCCATTATCATGATTTTAATAATTTTTTCAGTGAAAAGGAAATTTGTGATGCAAAGATGATCATTGCCACTAATCGTGAATCATATCACACTATATCTGTCAAAATAATTGCAGTGTGATGTTTTTACCATATTGTGCAGCCCTATTCTGCATAAACAATTTTAGGTACATGTAATTGTAAGCGTCAGCAGCACATGTGTTGAGTAGGCCAGCTGTTAGAAAAGATATGGTTCTTTGATAAGAAGTCAGATTTATAAGCCTGTGTACATAAAATATAAGTATAGAAGTCAATTATGACTGTTTCAACAATAAACATCCAACCACAAGTTTAAACTCTTGCAAAATCTCCTGCTGTTCATGCCTATCCTTTGCCCGCCTGAACCCGGCGTGTCTTCGTCATCCCCTGAGTCAGAGTCCTGGTCGGAACTCCTGTAAATCACCGCAGCACCGTATCCCCTGTCGTCAAACTGGCCTCCATCTGTCTCAGAGCCCGGTTCGTAGTGTAAACAACAAGAGCTCCCATTCCAGGCAGTCTGCTCATAGACATATGTGCAGCTAACAGGGTCACTGAGCTTGTTCTGGTGATATGCTGCCCTTATTTGTTTGGAGTATGAAATAACAGGGGGCCAATTCTTACATATTGCACCTTTAAGCAATAAGTAAAGATAAGAGAAGTATCAAACATAAACGTTGCCTTTGAGATGTAGTAGAAACATAAAGTTGCATTAACTTTCTTCCTTCCCTTCCTTCCTTCCGTCCTTTTACACCTCTGATGTTCTTTATTTTCATAGCCTTAGCAGTTGAGGCTCATGGGTATCATCAGGTAGTATTTCTCAGTTTTTCTTGATTTCCAAGAAATAAATATTGGCCATAACAGAAACCTATAGTATTGCTCAATTATCTCAGGGACTCCAGTGTTATTGAGGAAGATTAAAGATGTCATTAAAAGACAACTTTGAAATGCAAATGTTCAGTGGTCGCTCCTCCCAATTACATGAAAACATTCTCCCCTATTCTAGACTTCTTGTGGTGCTCCGCTATTGCTATGTAAATTTTCTTCTTAGCTCCCAGAAGTGGAGAAAACCATGAATGCGACAGATTTTGCT